CATGAAGAGATTGGATTGGCATTCAATTCTACCATAGCAACTCACACAAACCTTATATTTGAGGGGATGGGTGCAATGGGAATGAGCACTTGGGAATAATAGTCTACAACAGTGTCTACGATAGGCCCATATATACTAACTTGTTTGTGTGACTATATATATAGTGTATAATGTCTATTATATATATATATATATATATATATATATATATATATATAATCAAAAATTAAAACACAGACTTCTTATATAAATATATATAGGGGAAGTCTGTGTTTTGATTTTTTCCGTTTTACAGTGCTCGATACGTAGAAGTAGAGCGCAATATATATTGAGATACGGAAGAAAAGAGACTATACTTTCATCCCTGCAAGCCTGTTTCGTGATTACTCTCTCATCAGGGGATTGTATTGCTAAGAATATTCGTACCATCGTTTATATACTTTACAAATTTGCATAATAGGCGTGGCGGTAAATTTCAATGCTTTGTTCAATTGTTACGCAGTAACGCTTTGTTTCTGTGGCGGCATGCGGACACGAGTTCATTACCTTTATTGATCGTGAGTGATGATAATTCAAGTGGGCAGATGATGGGTAATTTTTCTTTGAGGCAGAGGTTGCATCTTTTGCTTGCGCTGTTGAAGGGTGATGTAGATGAAAGGATGCGCCATGAAATAAAATGGTCCATGTTATTTTCTTTAAGGGTTCAGATATGTTTGCTGAGTTCGATAGAGTTTCTGTGTTTTGTGTGTCGGAATGATGAGGTACAGTTTCTATATCTAGTCTTGCAGTCGTTTTTCTGTAAGTCCGATATATGTTTCAATGGTGCTGTTGTCCTTACGTGTGACGGTTGCTTAGTAGATTTGTGGTGACTGAAGGCAGTTTCCGTTAAGTGGGCATGTTTTCTTCTTTGGGCAGTTGCAAGTTTTGGTGTCTTTTGTGTTGGTGTTATCTGCGGTGTCATTGATGTGTTTTTTGGATGAATTTAAAATGCATTTGTTGCGGTTGTCGATGATCTGTTGAATGTTATTCATGCAGCTGTAACTGATATTGATTGCGTTACGATCAAAGACTTTTTTAAGTTTGCGGTCTTTCTGGAAGTGCTTGTCTATTAGGGCAAGGAATCTATGTCTGATATTGGTGCTGACGTTTTTGCTGAATGGTAGGTTCTATCAGAGTATGTTGTTCCTTTGTCTGTTTTTTCATTTGTTAGTTGTGGGTGGTTCGTAGTGTAGAGTGTAACGGTATCAGCATTCGTCGAGTGCTTTTTTTTTGGTGGAGCGGCTTCGCCGAAAGATGCTTTGTCGGATGAAAGGGATGACAGTCTTGTTGATGCCGGCGGGTATGTCCTTTGTGGCGGTTGGTGCGTGGATGCCGCGGTGGACGTATCGTAGTGTGGTGTAGGGCTTTGGGAAGGGTTGGTGGGTGTTTTTGTTCAGGTTGAAAGTGACGTCTAAGAAATTGATGGTCTGTTTGTTGGTTTCGATGGTGATCCGTAGTTCATTGTGATTAAAGATGTGGCATATTTCTTTTTTGACGTTTTCTGTATCTCTCGGTGTGGCTTTTCAAACGCCACACCGAGAGACACTACGATACGTCCACCGCGAGAGCAACCACCCCGCAATTTGTAAGCCGTTTATAAGAGATTTATCGAAAGAACCATTGATTATTACCCCGATGCGAAAGATTTTATGATGGAAAACACTGAGGATGTATGTATGTATGTATGTATGTATGTAGGTATATATATTTATATATATATACACAACCCAATAATCTTGTATTAATTCAGGTGAAAAACAACACAATGTACTGGTGGTGGTTACAGCGTGTTTTCATTCCGGGAGTGTTTTCCGGCAGATGGTACAACGGCCAAAAGGAAAACCGAACAATTTACATTGGTAATAAACGCTCTCTTCTCATTGGAATGGCACGAATAAGGCAACTCAGAGTGAGATCGAGTAAGTTTTTTCTACTTTTATTGCTTTTTGCATTCCAGTGAGAAGCCTATTTACCCACTCAAATTATTATACCTTTTATAGTTGAGTCTGATAGAGAAGCGATCACTGTCCAACCTTAAGTATAGAGTTAACAATAGTTCACTGAAATTCCTAAAGAACAATATTGAAAATTCACCGGAGACAAATTTCTCGGCTGCTGACCATTGTAACAATTATTTGGAAAAGAGTTTATAATTAGATAGCTGCATTTTTTTATGAACGTCAAATTTGGGTTTTAATGGACGGCATTCCTCTGCCCCGTGGGCAAACTTTGAAGGCTTCTTAGGCAACTTTAGTTCTCTATAACAGAAATGTCCATGTCTATTTATAAGTACGCACTATGAGAAACTGCTGAGTGAAATGAATACCAAAACAAACTTCCAACTTCCTGATCATGATCCTTTGTTTTCCAACTTGCAGCACAATGTAAAGTCCTCAACTATATGGAAACATTGTTCGAAGAATGTTTCAAGGGATACTCGACAGAGAACGAAGAAAAGACCGCCTACAACAAACCAGGCTGGATGCCTTTTGACAATGCTACTAGGAATGACGAGTTATTACAACCTTGCCCGAAGCCATGGCGATATCAAAATGCCGAGGAAACCGACACTACACCCAGGTGGGGACAGTTCTCCTTTTATGATGGAGGAGGATTTGTAGCAGACCTCGGCTATGATAGCCATACGGGATTCAGTACAGTAACAAATTTAAAAGACAACGGCTGGATTGACAGGCAAACCAGAGTTGTCCTGGCAGAGTTTTCGACATTCAATCCGTCGGTAAATATTTTAGGTGTTGCCACATACTTCTATGAAGTTGATGCATCTGGACTGAAAGCAGCCTCTGTGCAAACTCGTGTTCTTTCACTTGATTCTACAAACGCACCTTCGCATCAGTTTTATTTGATTTGCTTGTTTCTGTACACTGTATTCGTTTTTCTGTATTTTGGAAGAGAAATGTTTAGGCTTTATAATCATCGCTCTCGATATTTCAAGTCCGTGTGGAACTGGGTCGAGATCTTCCAAATTGTTTTTTCTCTGTTTGCTGTGGTAATGTACGTAATACGACAAAGTAAAACCCTTTCAACTATGGGTAAACTGCATAAAAACATTTACGCAAATCTAAGTTTCCAAGAAGCTATCACTTGCCAAGAAGTGGAAATTGTCGTACTTGGAATTCTTATTTTCATCGTCACTACCAAGCTCTTGCGAATCATTCGCTTCAACAGCTATGTCGCTCTATTCTCCAAAACATTGAAAATATCTGCACGATCTTTGTCATCCTTTAGTATTATTTTATTGATTTTCTTTGTGGCATTTTTGCATTTTGGTGTCTTGATGTTTGGCTCTGTATCTGAGCGCTACTCTTCGCTGCTGAAAGGAGTTTATTTCCAGCTCGAGCTAACTCTTGGTCGAGTGAAAGCTAGACCAATCAATGAACTAGCTGAGGCTAGTACCATATACGCCAAAATATTCGCCTTTTTAATCCTCTTCACTCTCACTGTCCTCTGCATGAACTTCTTTATCGGCATGATCAACGATGCTCTTTTGGATGCTAAGAACAATGTGAGCGAAAGTGAGCTGTATGAACTTATTGATGAGAACCGTTGGTTGAGGTCAAAAGAAAGAAAAGAACTTTTCGATGCAATCAGTAATACATTGAAACAGTCGAGAACTTCCAAAACGTCAGCAAAAGTAAAAGAAAAAGAATCAGGAAACGTTGGCCTTTACTCCAAGAACAGTTCCAATCTCAACTTTGATTTAATAAGTCAAGCTATCATAGCTTGGAGGAAGAAAAGATCCAGAGAAACAATAGATAAACGGCAATGCAGCACAAGGAGACAATCTTTGTTCGACAAGATAAGCAACATGTTAAAATCTCTGAAAGGTGAAAGCAATGTTGACGGCAGTAAACGTAGAGAAAAAAAGAAAGTAAGATTTCAAGAGGACGTCGTCGAGTTTTCTCTCCGTAAATTACGTAGGAGACGGGATGACCTGTTACAACGGTTCGAGAGTATTGTTTCTGGGTTCTCGGAAGAAGATGAAGAATTTAATTATTTATTAAAAACAGCAGAGGCTTATAACTATTAGGCTGAGAGAGAATAAAAAGAAAAAGGGAAAGGAAGTAAAACACTTCATCGAAAATTAAGGTAAAAACAGATAGTTAAGCAAAATCATCTGGTAAACACAAAGAAATAGCAGGAATTCCCCACCGTGTCGTAGCATTGTGGTGACTAGCAAAAAAGGAAAAAATCAAGCAATCAATTTTTCGCATTTTTTTAAAGCTGATCTCAGAGGAAGAACTCGTAAACATTTTTTCAGAGCCTATTGATTGTATATAAATATGGCTCGTATTCAACGGCAATAAATATGAACTCTTTCACCATTTAAAACAGATTAACACTAAGGAAGTTGAGTATTGTTATGTTATAATTCTGCCTGTAATATTCTGTAGCAAAAAGATGGAGCGATTTCGATGAATATGTGCGAGCTCTCAAAGATTTTAAAGATTTTAAAAATTATTTGTATTTGAGACTTTCGGAATACTTCCTGTGAATATTATCGATCATTTTATTGCTAAGCAACAAGTAACCTTTATTTATCTTATTCTGATACATTTGATTAGTTTTATTTATTGAAACATAACTATGGAATTGAATGAGTGTTTTCAATAAATTAGACTTATTATTTACCAAGATAATTTCTTTGTTCGGAGAAACTAACACCACCATGCTACTCTGAAATTCGAATGGAAATAAACTTATGTATGTGTATGTGGGATTGGAATTTTGCTGGTCTCGAGCGTATCGACTCTCTCCACTCCCTCTTCACCCCCTCCTCTTTTGCTTGTCAAAATTTACATGAAATTTGGTTTGGCGCAGTTTAAGACGTTATTTTTATTTGGATACGATACAAATTGATCTGAACACGACTAGTCACTTAATCGTTTCGTTTTGACAAATTGTGCAACGGGCTTTTAATCCGAAATCTGTTACTCCTTTTGCTAGTGCTAATTTTGCAGACTCTTTTGTTAATGTGCTCACACATTGCAAGTAAACAAAAATTGTCCAAGTTTCTACTGCTTATTTGATTAAAAATGAGTAATTGGAATGCTATTGAAGGTTGCTCTCCAGGTGTAATATGTTTTTCTAAAGAGCTGAAAGTCCCTTTTTTCATCTAAAGTTACTGCTGGACGGTCAGGCTTTGATTTTAAAGAACATCATCCAGAGAATGACGTTTCTTCAGGCCTCGAGAGCAGAGAGGTTACTTATTTTCTCACCTTTTCGATACACACAGCCGATATTACCCCACTGATTCCAGCCACGAAAGCTAAGGAAGAAGCTATAATGTACACAATTATCCAGTCCAATGACATTATCGAAACATGCGCTTATTTTCCCAAACTGAAGAGCTGAAATTCTTTTAGCACCAAAGACAAGTCAATTTAATGTTTTCGGTATTCCTTTTCAGTTAAATTGACTTCTAAGGTACAGATTTAAATTGCGATGCAAATTGGGCTGGGAGCGTGCTTTTTGACAAACTGAATATGGCGCAAAATTAAAGAAATCTCCATGATTACGAGTAATACAAATTTTTTGGGGAATCAGGAAGCTATACATGCATTTTGGATTGAAAAGGAAAAGCAAAAGCGGGGAAAGGCAAAACAGTCGCAGTGAGCTAATCTTTTTCCTCTATACCAGAAGATTGGTGTTCCGATAGTTCTTTTTTTTTTCTTTGTCTGACGGAGTTTACAAAATAATTAAATATCTAATATACTTTGTTTTTATCAATTGGCAGTGTAACCTTTAAGCGTTATAAATTCCTTTGACCGATACTGTCGTCACCTAGCCTGTTTGTAAGTGCATTTTTTCGGGCAGATAAATGATTTTCTAATCTGCGTTTTATGCCTTCTTTATGCTCTTCATAATTAGCAATGTTTATATGGTAATGAACGACTACGAAGCGTTTTCTTGTTCCTCTGCGTGTGAAAACGTTCTGTAGAGTAAAACTTAAAGTTTGCTTAGTTTGCGAACTAGCTTATTAACTGCGTTTGGATTTAAGAAGGATTTATATTTCACAAAGTATTAAAAGCAATTCATGTGTTCAAACTGAGCTTCTCTGGACCTTGTGAAACACGTCGTGCTCACTGAATTCCTTGTGAAAATCCTATGGGAAAGAGCCGTGATTTGCCATGAATGTTTCCTTTTTTATTGCAACTTTCGAATGGGACAGAAGAAACTCAGTATACTAGTATACTAATATTAATAGTATACAAACAAAATATCTTCTCGTCTCCATGATCAGTATTAACACTGTTATTATCACCAGAACAAATTTTTTTCGTTTATTCATTTATCCTCACAAAATTTTGGAGACCAACCACTCAAGATTCAAATTGAGCAGAAGTTTTATTTGAGCGGTCAGTTTTGGATATCCGATTTATTCGCTTAAAGAAACCTCATCTGTTTCGAATTGTTGCCCCTTACTCGGTTATACGATTACATCGAGCTAAAAAGGAAACCTTTTTCTTTTCTGTATAGCGCATTTTACATCCTTTTTGTTAGTTTATAGTTTGGTTGCACTCCGATTGGCTTATTTAAAAAAAATTTATGAAGGAATTTGCAAAGGTGTACCGCGTCCTTAAAAATCAGTTTATAGTTTGGTTGCACTCCGATTGGCTTATTTAAAAATAATTATGAAGGAATTTGCAAAGGTGTACCGCGTCCTTAAAAATGTTTTCCGTATGCAACAAGTTATGTTCAGCTGGCTGGTACATCGCAGAGATACTGCATTTTTGAAAATTACTCCATCAGCTCCCTAGGGAAGGTAATAAAAGTCACTAGTAGATGTTAAACTTCTTGCAGCAAATAAAATGCATTAGTACTGGTCTAACTCGAAATCTAATAAACTTTTTCATTGTTTCAAATGTTGGAGTACCAGTGCGTGGCTTATTGGTTTAGAGAATAAAGCTGGGGTTTGGACTTGGGAGAGTGGAGAAAACTGAATGTTTCGAAATGATAACGACGATTTCTCTGATATATCCAAGAATGGAGGCCTCTCTAATGGTATCTCTGGGTTTGATAAAAATGCCTACATTTGTAAGATGCCCGGAGGTAAGATCAGCGCGCATTAGTAGTTGAACACAGTACCCATGAAAATTCCCGGGACATACATTTCCAAAAAAAATTACTAGTTTATAACAAATGAATAACAAATGATCACTAGTTTATAACAATAATCAGTCATTGACTTCCCAGTGGCAGATACATCAATCGGATAATTCTAAACGTGATTTGAAAAAGAAAAATTATCCTTCAGCATCGACGCAAGCCGAAGTCGATTGTTGTTTGAAGTGCCCGCAGCTGGAAGAAAACAATCAAAATTGTACATTTCACAACTTTTGTCGAGCGCGCTGCGATTGGGATAATCTAGCCAACGGAAACTTCCCCCTTCCACAAGTTACAAGGGGTGCTCACCGAAGTAAGTAAGGTATGCATTTTTTTTTTTTAACATAACATATCAAAGTATTTTTATTTTGTGTGCGTCTGTGTGTGTGTTTCCCTTTGTATCCTTTTTCACAAAGGCACACGTAGATGTTTTCCTCATACTGCGTGGCACAAGCTCCTGTGTTTTGACAAGGCCAACTGATGCAAGGAGACTAAAGAGGCAAACGAAACACGGCACACCTTTCGATCAAAACTTAGGGAAAAGGAGGATTGAGGTTTATACTCATATATTTTTTTCTTCTTTCGTGGCTCAAATGAAATTTATCATTTTTGGAATCAAATAATTAAATAAACTAGTAACCCAGATTTTTGATTCATACAAAATGAAACCTGAAAGTCACGTGTGTACTAGAACTTAATATCGCTTGCAGAAAAGTAATTCAAACTCTGTGTTAAGAAGGTTAAGACTGTTTAGACAAATTTAGAGGCTTATTCAGTAATTCACCAAATTCGGTAAGTGCAATAAAAATTCCTTGATTTGAATTAAATGTACCTGCTCGCAAGCTCATGTTCAGAAAGATTCCACAAACGTCAATGGGTAAATTAATGGGCGGTCAAGCCATTTCGTGAAGTTTTTTTACAGCCGGAATAGGTACAGTGCTTCAATCAAATAATAGGTTTCCAAGAACTTTGTGGAAATAGAATTTAGAGACTCCCTTTTTGCATTTCCTATCCCATTTTTTTTTATTCGAATGTTGTTGAAATTGTAAACTACGTTGAGATTTTTAACTTGCTGTGATACGAAAGTGATGGCGACTGTACTGGCGACAAACTTGTCAGAGTTGTTGTACATGTCTGATGGAAGTACCTCACACGGCAGTTTACCAATGATGTCATGAAATGCAGCTAGGTTAAGGGAGAGGCATAAAGGTATGCTGACACAAGCAAGTCCACACTCAACGCCATCGGGAACATAACTTGAACCAATTCCAGAGACATTTAGGTAAGAAAATTTGTGAGCTTTAAACTTGGTATAGGCCAGTCCTCTATCGGCAACGCGCCTGAGAATTTTTGCACGCGCATCGATGACTTTTGTTTATTGAATTTAAAGAGAATTTTAAAATAACTAAATACAGTTAAAAAAATACTTGCTGAAGAATTCTCGTATATTTACATAGCGTTTGAGGCATCTGTTACAGATGTTGCTATCGTAAGTATATAAAAGTAGTTCCTCTGTGGCTGTTGAAGAAAACGCTCCATATACCATGTTATGGGTGGAGTTCACCATGCGAAGCGAAAATAATATCTGCATTTTTACTTTGTAATCACCCAATTCTAGCTGATGTGACATAATTGAAGCGAGTGTGACGTAATGGATAAACTGTTTTGTTTCTATCTTTTTTAAGCCTAAGTCCACAAATACTTGTTTTAGCAAATTGCAACAGAGCCTTTCGAGTGTAAGGCCGGACGGCTTCTTCCGAAACGGCTCACGTCAACCTTTCCGGCCTCGCATACGTCAGGATTGCGTGAGCAGGGCCGATGGATCATATGATATCAGTATCAATCCAATAAGCAGAGCATTGATGTTCTATAAGAGGAACACCGAATGTTCTTCTCGGCAAGGATTACGTGCACTTAGCTTCGAATCCTCACTGATTTGGTCACGTGCATCGAATTGCGGTTTACAACGAAACTTTCCGCCAAAAAATTAAGAATGAATAAAGAAAGTTTTTTTTTCCATCTTTCCTCACTATTTTTAAAATATTATTTTCACTTCACCCATGATTAATTTCCTGCGGCTAAAATGTTTGTTCAATATACTTCACTGGCATTATAGAACCGGCGAGTTGCTGTCATTAATTATTAAAAGGCTACATTGGCATACATTGTAGAGTTTATCTGTCATTTCAGGCAAATGATGCTTTGAAATATTTCTGATGTGTTTCTATAATTTATTTTTCAAAATGATGGTACTGCTAGAATATTTATTGCGCAAAAGGTGTACGAATTTAGTCTTTGCTTCTTAGACAGAAGTGTCTATGATGACATTCTGAAAATAACACTAAAATTAATTAAAAATGATGTCGATATTCTGCTGGAAGCAAATGAAGTGTTTTCATGTCGGTCAATGTTTGG